AGTTCAAGTTCATTTTGTTGTATCTGGTGCATTGTCTAGTTTATATTCATTATGTATGATGTGCGTTTTCACAAATATTGAGTGTATAAATTAATTAAGGGCATTATACAGTACAAATTCATTCTGTACCCCATCTCATTACTAAATGCATGTATCTAGATGCATGAATTTAGTTCGTAAGTGGGTTTCATAATTTTATATTCACTTTGCACACAATTAATTAACGAATTTACAAGAATATACCAAATCAGACTTATCCACACCGAATATCCAGGATTCAGAGGACGGCACCAGCAACCCCTAACCAGCTTAAGTAAAAATAATTTATCTACAAAAAGGTGAAGTAATTGATTCTCAATCGTGAACATGTTTTCATTTTTAAGATAAGAAATGATAACGTCACTTTTTGTGTTCTTATCTCGGGTTTGAATGATTATAGTGGCTAACGTGTTGTTAAATGTGACGTCCACAGTCTCCCTAAGTAGGAGTGCAACGAGTCTCTCTTTAGAGTGTGGATTTTTATGGTGGGATTGTTTTTTCATCTTGTTTTTTTCTTAGTGTCGTTGGTTTTGCTCTAGAGTTGGTGTTTCTTGGTGTTGGTTTCGCCTTTTCTTTTAGGGATTTAGTCTTTCTTCTAAGGTCTTTTTAAGTTTTCTGATCTGCTGGTTTTTAGTTTGTTTTTCTCTTTATGTGGCTTGGATTTGCTTTCTAATTTTTCAGGATCTGCTATTTTGGTCAATTGAGCTTTACCCTTGCTTGGTTCTTTGACGTTGTGACTTGTGATGGACTTGGAGCTAGCTAGGAAATTGCAGCAGTTTGATTTATCAGTGGAGGAGAGGAGTGGGGTTACTCTAGAAAAGGAGATGTGGCTTTTAGTGAGGATGAATGTGGTAGGAGTCTCTCCCGGAAAATCTATGGAGCCAAAAAAGCTAATTTTGCAGGTCTCATAAGAACTCTACATCTAATTTGGAGAAGTAAAAATTCCTTTAGTATTAAGAAATTGGGGCACAATACATATCAGTTTGTGTTTCGGTAGGTTTAGGCTAAAGTGAGGGTGCTGAAAGAAAGTTCTTGGGCTTTTGATAATCAGTATTTGCTGCTGGAGGAATGGGCAGAGGATATGCATGAACGAATAGGGAACCTTAAATTCTTAGATATTTGGATTCCATTGTGGAATGTTCCATTTAATTGGGTGACATTCAGTATTGGATTCAAAATCGGCAGAGTTTTTCATGATGTGAAGAATGTGGCCATTATGGAGAGTGGCAGCACTAACGGCAGAATCATTAAGGTGCTGGTCACTGTTGATTTGGGAAAACCTCTCCTGCAAAGTACAACTCTATCCTTAAAGGGAAAGACAAGGTGGTAGATTTTAAGTATGAGCAACTACTTGGTTTTTGCACAAGAAAAATTGTCGGACATTTGGAGATAAATTGTCACAAGAAAAAAACAGATATTCAAAATGGGGGGATCAGGTGGATCAGTATGAGGATTGGTTAAGAGATGATGTGCAGGGAAGAAAGCAGCCTGAGAAAAATCGATTAAGGGAGGAAGAGAAGAATGGTAAGGAGGTTGTAGATGAAAGTGTTGGGAGGAAGAGATTAATTAGAGGACAAAGATTAGGGGATTGATGCTAAATAAGGAGTTTATACCTCATTTAGAGGTTTGACCAATTAAATTTGCTGGTTAACTTGTTTGATAAAGTGTTTATTTGAATAACTTTTTAAATCGAGAATGCTATTTTTAAAAAAGCTCAAAACATCAACATTCTAGCATTTTTGAAGAGATGATTCATTAAAGACAATATAATATAAATATTATAAATATTCGCTATTTACTAAATGATTATTTGATAATCCATTAATTCATCAGTCAAACCAAGAATTCGCTATCTATTAACCACCACTAATACATGTTATCAATTATAGTAGCCATACGGTAATTAGCCAACAAGGGAGGTTGCTTTGTTATCGTTAGTATCATTTTATTTTGTATTTAGAGTTTATACAACTACAAAATACGAAAAATAGTATACATAGAATAAGAGAACGAGGGGGAGAGAGCAACTTTGATTTCGTCCAATTCATGGCTGTCTCAGGGTCTCTGCAAGTCTCCCTGGAGCTCGGAATCTGCAGGAACCATGAGCGCAGCAAGAGATTTCAGGTTAATTCGTAGCTCAATCTGTCTTTGAAGTTCAATTATTCTATAACCTATGAAAACATTTCCATCTGCAGAGTACCAAAACAAGGGCTCGATTGTGTCTCTCGAGGAGTAATTTGTCGTCAGCTTTACTGGTATGGCTCATGATTATGCGAATTTCGTCTTTAGACCCTTTTGGTGTTTTCGCCCTTCATGAAATGTTGATTTCTTAATTACATCATCTGGTAACCTTCATATGATTTGAATGATCCCCTTAAGTTTGGGGATATATATTCTCGACGCACATAATGTTCTTTTCCTGTTTATGGAATTTTCGGCACACTGAATTTATGTTCTTTGTGAAAATTGATGCTGTTTACCAATTTCATTTTTCCAGAGACGGTGTTCTTGGGGTTCAGATTCTTTGAAGCAAGTGCACAGACGAGTATGCACCATTCCTCATATAGATCATCAGTTTAGGTGCCATTGTTTTGTAAATCCCAGCCCGTCTGTGGATGTTAACAGTGTAAAGAATGCAACTTTAACTCTAGCAAGGTAATTTCCTCGTTTGGGCTTGTATGGTTGGGATTTCTTTAGAAAAGAAGTTGATATTATGCAACTTCAAATTTAGCAAGGTTATTTTTCATGGCATTTGGTATCATATAATTTACATTTGATAATTCACATGTATATAAATGGTGATGTCATTTCTTTAGCTGTTCTGTTGGGTGTTTGTTTTGAATAAAGATTTTCTGGTTTTTTTCAGATCACTTAATCGTCTGCAAGGAAGTCCCGTTGTGATTAAATTGGCTTCAGCAGTTGGGATTGTTATTTTTGCAGTATGGGGGCTTGGGCCACTTGTCCAATTAAGCAGAAATGTTTTTATGAATGTATTACCCTTATGATACTAGTTTACTTATACAAATTTTATTATATGAGTTTCACTATTATAAAATACCTTTTCGAAATTTAGTTGAGTTTTCCAATTTACGCTATATCATTGTATTGTACAGAAGACTGACAATAACTGGAAAAAGAGTAATGCATATCAAGTTACAACCTCATATATTCAACCCTTGTTGCTATGGACTGGAGCAATCTTTATATGCAGGTTAGTTATGTCTGGTTGAAATTGGAATCAGATAGCTCAAAGCATTCTGACTGAAAGTGGTGTTTCTTCCAGTGCATTGGATCCAATGATTCTTCCCACAGAAGCTGGTCAAATTGTTAAACAAAGGCTTCTAAATTTTGTCAGATCTTTATCTACAGTGCTGGCTTTTGCATATTGTCTGTCAAGGTTAGTGTCATTATCCTTTCATTAACATGTGGCCAAAGATGCTATAATTTCTGTTTGCTGAGTTTGAATCTGTTATGCGTGTATCCATGTGCATATGATGCCTGCAAAGAGCTATCAATACATTGATTTCACAGTTCACTTTTTCTGGAAAAGTTTTCCTGCCTGAGTCATATCACGTGCCTGGGTAGTGGATTAGGCTAGTAAGTAAGGTCTATATGTAATTTGACAACTGGTTCATGAATAAGTCTTAAATCTGTTTCCATCCTCTCATTTTCTGCATTGATCCATGATTGATTTTTCATAACGAGCTTCATAACTTCCTTCTTTGATGTGTCATCACTTTC